AAATAGACTCATATAATGTACGCTTTTATATCTGGCTCTTTTCACTCGCCATAATATTGTTGAGATATCTATGTTATTTCATGCATCAGGGTTTTTTTGAGATATAATTTAAACAAATTAAAAAGTCACTCTATAGTACACGATTCTGATAAATACATACTAGTGCCACTCATCAAGATATAGAGCCTTCCCATACTGTTCCCTGGCCTCCCGCTTCCCCCAACCACTAACTGCTAGAAACCACTGATTTTTGTCCTTCAATTTTTGCTTTTTTGAGAATGCCATGTGGCATGTAGTAATCTTTGAGTCTCGTTTCTTTTACTCAGTGTAATGCTTTTGTGAATCCGTAGTTTGCTTCTTTTAATGGCTCATTAACACTCCACACCTATAGGTATACCACATTGGTAGTTTTTGACTATTATGAATGAGACTTCTTTGAATATTTGAATTCAGTCTTTTGGGTGTATCTGTTTTAATTTCTTTTGGCTAAAACAAAGGAATGAGACTGCTGGGTCATATGTGCCTGTGTGTATGTTTAACTTATAGCAAATTGTGTGTTTTCAAAAGCAGCTGTGCCATTTTATATTCCTACTAGATGAGTATGAGAGGTCTGGTGCTCCCCTCTTCAGTCCTTAGTCTCGTCAGTCTTTAATTGTACCCACTTGATTGGTATCTCATTAGAGACCTAGTTTGTATTTTCCTAATGGATAGTGATATCGAGCGTTTTGTGTGTGTGCGGGGGAAGGCTTATTGGCCAAAACTGCCTATCTTCTTTTGTGAGGAGTCTGTTGGTCTTTCGCACAGTCAGGACAGGGAAAAAGTCAATATTTCTAACATAGCTAAGACCTGGAAAAGAGGTGTGTGTGTCTGCGTGCTTGTACATGTGTGTGCACATGCATGTGCATATGTGTGTGGTTTGTGGTATTGTGTTAGGGTGGAAGAGATGGGATGGGGTGGGAATTGGAAAACCCAGCAGCAAATTATAAAAAGATGTGTAATTAGACAATTGTGTAGGGTTACAGAGGTCCAGCCACATATAACGTGCATTCCTAAAAGCAGCTGAGTGAGAAAATAGCATCTAGAAATCTGGAGACTATCTGGAGACTTAGGAGCAATCATAGGGCAAGACTTAAGGACAGCTTCTAGAATTAGGTGGAAGGAACATAAAGACATTAACAAGATTTAGAAGCCTAGTGATATTAGCTTCTTTATATAGCAATTGAGGCCTTAAGAACATTAATCTAAAAAAAAAGAACATTAATCTTTTTAAATACAGGTTTATTGAGATCATTTACATCCAGTAAAATTCATCCTTTTTGGCGTACAGTTCTATGATTTTTTACAAATTGGCAGATCATATAGCCACACCACAAACAAAATGCAGAATAGTGTGAGAGCCCCCAAAACATTCTCTTAACGCTCTTTGTAGTCAGCCTTCCCCCAAGCCCTGGCCTTGGTAACCAGTGATTACTTTCCTTTCCTTGTAGCTTTGCATTTTTGAGAATGCTGCTAGGTAAATGACATGCAATCTGTTGCTTTATTCGTCAGTCTTCTTCCCCTTAACGTAGTGCATTTCTGTTGCACATATCAGTCGTGTGCTCCTTCAGGTTACTGAGTAGCATTCCATCATATGAATGTACCAGATTGTTTTTGAATTCACCAAAGAACACTTGAGTTGTTTCCAGGTTTTGTAAATTATGAATAAATCCTCTGTAAACATTTGTGTACAGGATTTTGTGTTACCATATGTTTTCATTTCTCTTGAGTAAATATGTCAAGGTGGGATTGCTGAGGGTCATGTATTAAATGTATGCTTTACTTTCTAAGACTTTGTCAGAATTGCAGAACCATTTTCAGTCCCACCAGCAGTTTATTGAATTTTACTTGCTCTATTTCCTTTCTACCATTCAACTAAATGTGTAGTGGTAGCTCATTGTGGTTTGAATTTGCATTTTCCTAATATTTAATAATGTATCCTTTCTTGGATTTCTTTGCCATCTATGAATCATCTTTGGTAAAGTATCCGTTCAAATCTTCCATCAATTTTTTAAATTGGAATATTTGTTTTCATATTTTGTAGTTTTAAGACTTCTTTACATAAACACTTTTCTTTATCACAATAATTATCACTAACATTTACTGAGTGTTTATCATATATCAAATACTGTTCTAAGATTCTTTATTGAATTATCTCATTTAAATCCGTAGCAGTCCTGTAAGGTTAGATACCATCATCTCAACATACAGATGATGAAATTGTGCCAAACGCTGCTAGGTTTTAGAGATACAAATTGAGTATGACCTTTGTTTATAAATGACTGTAATGTTCTATGGCAAGTATGCCAATGAAGTTACATAGTAAACAAGAAGTGATACCCAAACTGAGATTTGGAAAGATGTTTACTAGGCAATCTTTTAGAGAAAGATTACTCCAGATACCTCAAACAGTAAATTCAACATTAGTGAAATAATAATTTTTTCAAAACTGAAAGTCGTTCAACATTGCTGGACCATAAAGTAAAACAGGTGCTTTTGGAACTGAAAATACAATTCTCTGTTATTCAGAAACATAAAGACCAAAAATGAGTAGAGACTTAACATTTGTATCAGTTTTCTCTTCCTCACTTTTTGATTGTGAGTTTTAAAAAACTTCCTCTAACTCCAGCTTCTCCCTACCACTAATAACATTGGTTAAAATAACACTCAGTCCCTTTTCAAGGTTTTATGGATTTCTTCTGGTATTGGAGAAAGTATATAATTTTGTATTTATCTTTTACTGCTTTCTTTCTGAATGAAAAACACCTGAAATACCACGCAGTAAAGAAAATCTTTCTTTTAGTATAACAACCGTATTGCATTAGAACAGTTGGTCCTTAAATATTTGGATATAATAACTGGTTACTCAGAGTAAGGATAATAATAAGATTTAACAATAGATTTTAGCTTGAGAGTTGTAATTGTTTAATGTTCATTTTATTGAAGTACAACATACGTACAGAAAAGTACACAAATTATCAGTGAACAGTTTGATAAATTTTCACAGAGAAATATCATCTACCAAACCAATACCCAGATCAAGTAGTAGAACATTCTCACAGTCCTGGAAAACTCCTTGGGCCTCCTACCAGTTACTAACTGCCCTCACCACAAGGGTACCCTGTTCTGGCTTACAGCCTCAGAGGTTAGTTTTGCTGGTTAGTGAACTTCATGTTGAGTATGTATTCGAAGTGGAATTGTTCAGTCACAGGGTAAGAAAACGCATTCATTTTCTTATGCTGCATACTAACAAATTGGCCACACATGTAGTGGCTTGAAATAGCCCATTTAGTATCTGATTTCATTGGGTCAAGTGTCTGGGCACAGCTTAACTGGGCTCTCTGTACAGGGTCTCACAGACCAAGGTGTCCACAGGAGCTGTACTCTCATCCGAGGTTCAGGGTCCTCTGCTAGAGTCCCAGGGCTGTCGGCTGAACCCATTTCCTTTCTGCTGTAGAATCCTCGCAGCTTGTTTTTTCAAGGTCAGGATGAAAGTGCCTCTGAGTTCAGGGAAAGGCCTAAACACTCTTCTTTTTTAAATTAAGATTTCTATTTTGAGATAATGGCAGATTCACATGCAATTTTAAAAATAATAACACAGAGCAATCCAGAGTATCTTTTCCCTGTTTCTTGTCTCATGGATATTTTACTGTATACAGATTTTTTTTTTTTTTAATACTTTAGCATAGGATTATTTAGGGAAGCGATTTTCTCAGTCCAGATTTCCTGTAGATAAGACTTTTGATAGAATAGAGTCATTGACAATCCTAGTTTTTTGTTTTTTGTTTTTTGTTTTTTTGCAAGTCTTACAAAAATTTGAAAGTCTTAATTGGAGCTAATATTTAAAGATTGTTTTCAGAACAGTTATCTTTATTTTCCTATAAA